CTGAAACCCTTTGGGGGTGTCTCAGCCTATTGTGGGCAAGTTGAGAGTCACGGTTCCTGTTAGATTCACCATCTTGTGTGAGCCTTGATTTTTGATATCTGTTCTCCTTACTCCATAAGGTGGTCATAATAGGGCCCTATGTTCACTTCTTATACTTTTGAACTGGACGTCCCTTCCTGTCTTAAAATCTCTGTTGTTTTAAGATGGCTTTTGTATTTTCATCCGCTTTGGTTTTCAGCAGGAACATTGATCTATGTATCCTAGCAGGTAATTTACAGAAACAGGAAATTTCCCACAATTGCATCTTAGGCCAAATCCTTTTTCTCTTGGTATTCTCAGCACTTAGAACATACTACTTGTGACATGGAATCCATAAATGTTGATAAGAAATATGCTAATTCTGTCAGTAATTAATCATTTTTAGCAATTTTTACTTACAGCTGCTCAATGATACAGGTATCTTGTATTAGTTATCTAATGTAAGTTGCTGCAAATAATAAATCACTAGAAAGTGTACCAGTTTAAAACAGCAGATGTTTATTATTTTACACAGGAATCTGACATTAAGTAATCCGAGAGTGGCTTAGTTGAGTGATTCCCATACGATTGCAAACTGTCGGTTGGGGCAACAATTTGAAGGCTTAACTGGGGTTGGAGGATCCACTTCCACTTATATGGCTGTTGCCAGGAGACATCAGTTCCTTGCCACGTGGGCCTCTTCACCGGGCTCCCCACACCTGGCAACTGGCTTCCTTAAGAGTGAGTGATCCAACAGAGAGGGACGGACAGACACAGACACACAGAGAGTGTGGGAGATGGGGGAGAAAGGGTCAAAAGGAAGAGAGTGGGGAGAAATGCACCAAAGATAGAAGCCATAGAGTCTTTTATAAAATAATCTTAGAAATGACATCCTATCCCTTCTGCCATATTCTATTGGTCATAAAGTCCAACAGTGGTACACTGTGGGAGGGGACTAAACAAGGGTGTGAATACCAGGAGGTAGGGATTATTGTGAGCTATCTTGGAAGCTGTCAAGCACCTTATTTTACCCAAAGAAAGAGAAAAAAATCTTTATTTGGAGGTTCATAATAAAGCACTTGTATTAGACCTATTTATTCATCTGTAAAAAGCATGAAAATATATTTGTAATTTTATCAATGCAAATGCAGAA